ATTCGAAGTCACCATGATGGGTGCATGGGTAAGCTTCTCCTTCAAGGTCTCGAATGCAGCTGTACTCAGGAGTGAAGTGTAATGGTGCATGCTTCTCTAGTAGCTTGGTCAAAGGTAAGGTGATCTTTGAGAAATCCTTTTCGAATCTCTGGTAGAAGCCTGCATAACCCAGAAAGCTGTGGATCCCTTTCACAGAGACAGGAGGAGGTAGCTTGTTGATCGTCTCAATCTTTTCCCGGTCTACTTCAATCCCCTGCTTGGAGATCTTGCACCAAAGAACAAGCCCTTCGCAAAACATGAAATGACACTTATCCCAGCTGAGTGCCAAGTTCGTCTCCCCGCACCTCTTCAGGACGAGTTACAGGTTATAAGACAGTGAGAGAAGGAGTCTCCATAAATCGAGAAGTCGTCCATGAAGACTTTCACAATCTCTCCAACCATTCGGTCAAAGATCGCCATCATACACTACTGGAAGGTTGCCGGTGCATTGCAGAGACCAAAGGGAATCCGCCGATATGCAAATGTGCGAAAGGGACAAGTAAAAGTGGTCTCCGACTTATCCTCCGGTGCGATTGGGATCTGGAAATACCCAGACATGCCATCCAGATGCCGGTAGTCGATGCAAACACGCCACCCAGATACAGTCAGCCTCAAGATCAGCTCATTCTTTTCGTTCGGGACCATAGTGATCATGCCTTTCTTCGAAAGCACCTTAGTGGGATTGACCCACTGGCTATCAGATATAGCAAAGATCAATGTAGTCAAAAGTGTGTTTCTATGTAGAAGCATTTTGATAATCTAGAAGTGTAAAACCGTCAGTTTTTATGCTTTAAACGCGTTTTTAACTACAATAGTTATAAAAACTATGATTTTGCATAGAAGCATTTTGGTAACCTAGAAGCGTAAAAGCATAAGTTTTTAAGTTTTGAAACGCGATTTTGACTACATTGGCAAAGATTATCACAGCATCCATCAGCTACACAATTTCGACCTGGACCACTGCCTCCGAGTTAGGAGTTAACCTCCGATGCGGCTGCTTGACTGGTTGGCTTAACCTCATCCTCCATCAGAATTTCGTGGGAGCAGAAGGATGGGCTAATGCCTCTAATACTAGTGATCTTCCATGCCATGGGGCGGGCATACTTCTTCAACAGAGCCACCAGACTGCTCTTTTGTTCAGGGGTCAGCTCCGAACTAATGATGTCCGGGAGCTTATTCACCTCCCGAAGAAATGCATACTCCAGGTGAGAGGGGAGAGGCTTTAGCTCCAGCTCTGGTGGCTTCTCCAATGATGTAGTGATCCGGGGGCGAGATATGGATGAGCTTGAATGGCTTTGCTCGCCCCTCGATCGCGTCTCCCTCCAACTCTGCGAGCTGCTCCTTCAGTTGCAACTTCTGTGATGCTTGCTCCCCTAGCAAAAGACAACGCCTGAGGAAATCATTAGTACCCGCACTCATGATGGCGAGTGCGGTCTCATAGTCAGCAACCACATCACAATAATCAAAATCATCATGGAGCTGGGAATGTTTCATATTATCATAAACAGAAAAGGTGATTTGTTCAACCCCAGCCTGGAAAATCAACTTGCCATCATTTACATCAGTGAGTGCCTTGGCAGTGGCAAGAAAAGGTCGACTCGGAATCAAAGGTACATCCACATTTTTATTTATATCAATAATCACGAAGTGAACAGGATATGCAAATGGCCCTACATTGACTATCAGATCCTCTACAATACCTCTAGGATGCACAATAGATTGGTCAGCTAACTGAATGCTTCACGTACTTGGGCATCTTTGACAGTTCCTAAATGAAAGGCATGTTGATGTTGACCTGCTTCAAAATTGCTATGAACTTGACAAACTCCGTCTCCAGACGATTTTTTTGCAACTGTATAGGGAAATGGAGCTGAGGGACATACTCCTTCATCACTGGTTGTGGTTTAGGAGCAGGCACCGCTGGCTCTTTCTCTGCTTCTTCTTCATCAGTTGAAAGTGCTGAAGTAGGTCTCTCTTCTTCTTCATGTCTGGCCTAGACAAGGATCTATACAGTCACCTTCTCACTCCTGGTGGTAATGGCACTGTTGTGGGCATCTGGGTCTCTATGATTATGTAGGGCATGAGAAGGCAAGGTACCTGGGGCCCTATCCGCCTCCAATTTAGCTACATTCCCAAGCTGGATATGGATGTCCTGCAGAACAGCCTGTGTGTTTCTCTAACCAGCTTCAAGCTACAGGAACTGTCCTAATGCCTTCTCCATGAAATGCTCCATATTGCGGAATTTCTGAGTGTTTTTGCTAGCAAGGGAACCCACGATGTCTCGCAACTCGCCCATAGGATAACACGAAGCTGGGGCCACAAGGAATGCGCTATGCTGCTCAAATTGTCATGGCTGCTGCTGGGAAGAGGTTGCCCCTGTCTGGGTGACTCGTCCCGAATACCACAATTGAACTCCTAATTAAGGCCCAAATATAAACCTTAATTGGGTGCAGTATAGGGCAAGTATGTTTAAATATCGAGTCAAACCGATTCATGTACCCCTAATTCGATTGTTTGTAACATTATCTAGCGATTGATTTTTGGTGAAAACAACAATCTATAGCTAAAACGTTTGCAAAGGTAAATGGAATAGATGCTAATTGAGAAGGCTTCACCCGGGTGTTTCTCCCCCTAGCTAACAATCATGACTTGTTGGATCGAATGGTCGTGTGTGGTAAAGAGGTTGTAAATCGTAGGGAAGTGCAACATGTAGCCAAGGGCCAGTCTCTCGGTCTCTAGGTCGAGGGAAGGGAATTTGATTCAAGCCACCAGCGTGAATCTCCCAACCTATTGACTAAGGGTTGGTTAGACTTCACCCTCGAATCGGAGTTCGGACGGCCACCCAGAACCAAACCCTAGGTGCTAATATGAAATAAAAGGTTTGCCCTACATTAACCTAGACAGGAGACAATGAATCGTCTAAGAAAACTCAGCATTCAAGCCTCTTTCAAAGAAAGGAAGGGGTTTTCTCTCTACCTAGGTTAGAATGGCAATTAGAATGATAGGTTTTCACACAGCGCAATCATTCATGAATAATACCTCAACATTCACATTAAACACCACTACACACAAATCATTCAATCCATACAAAAATTCACATAATTGTAGCTAGGGTTTACAAGCACCCAAGTGAAAGAAAGGACTATTCCATCTTAGAAGAAGGGAAAACAAAAAAGAAAATAAGGAAAACCATCAATGAGATGCTAACCTTGCTCCTTGTGTTGGAGAGATCCTCCTTTGGGGTGGGGGGGGGGGGGGAGGGGGGGGGATTCTCAAATCCTTGCTTGAAGATGAAAGTCTAGCTTCTCCTCTTCTTTGGATCGTCACTTTCTCACTCTAGAAATCCGAAGAAGAAGAAGTTTATCACATTAGGTCTCTCTCTCTTTTTCCCTTCAGCCCAACCTCCTTTATATACCCAGATCGAGCTCAGTTCACGGCCGTGAACTAAAAGCCAGGACTGTGATCTCAAGTCAAAACGCGCTGCATCACTAATTCAAGTTCCCGGGCAATGGCCTGAGTTCACGGTCTTACAACCGTGAACTGATTCGTGTCTAGTGAAAGCAATTTGTGCTCTGGATGCCTGGCTGTTCACGGGTAGTGTCTCCAGTTCACAGTCTTAGTGACCGTGAACACACAACCCAAACCGTGATCTGCTGTTGCTTCCACCCTTTGACTTGATTTTTCGCCCTTTCGTCCAACTTTCGACTCTGGGGTTGGTTCCACCTGCCAAAGTCTGAAAAATACCAAAACAAGACAAAACCCGGCGTAAAATCAAACCTCACGGAGTAAAAATGCTCCAAATGACTAAGCAAATCGGGGGTAAAAAGTCTACAAAATAAATAAGTATCCATCTAAACACTTATGTAATGACTTTTTAATTTAGTTAATTGTATAGAACGGTGATACATAAATATTTAGTAATCTGTGGCCTAATAATAAAATGAAATTATAGGGAAAATATAATATTTAATTGCACATTAATACATTATAATTTGTTACGTAATCCGTAATTATTTTAATTGTACTGTCAAACATGCCAAGAGTCCTTCGGAAAAGGAACAAATAAAACTTCCAAGAAATATCCATATTAAGTAACTTCCTAAATTCTTTCTTGGCAGCCGGCAACGGGATTTATATGGAGTCCCAACATATATCAATGTACCAAACCAAAGAGGATTAAAGTCCCCAATGAACAGTAAGTAACAGGGCCATAGGATCGAGAATTTCGTGAGGAATAGTGGAGTTCCTTACGCTATAATATTAAGTAACTCCCAGTTCTTTGTGTTAGATGTTCAGGCTTGGGGATGTAATTAAAAGGCAATGAAGTGGGGGAATGAGATACTACTTTGCTTGTTATTCCTACTTAATGATCAAGGTTTACGTTGTTTTAAGTGTTTGGTTTAAATTCTCTGATTTTTCGTCTTTTTCCCCACTAGATTACTCGTGTTATCGAGAACAAAGAGATACACTGTTTTGAAGTTAACAAATTGATGGTAACCAAGAAACAAAATCAAAACCCACCAACATCAGTGGATTTAACGAAAGAGCTTTTCTCGATACCTGATAGACACCCCTGTCATTCTCACATGTCCTACAAACACCGTATCGAAGTGATGACTGGACTTACTTTGCAAGTTAGCAATCTCCTAGAAAATGGCTCCTCCACACACATCAAATATCTCTTCATTACACCAATGCAACCGGAATTCAAGGACACCCACTGAGATCTCCCAATGCCAGACCATCAGGTGATCCTCCATACTACAAAAAAATCCACAAACCGATTAATTCCAAAAACTAATTTTTACCTCTTTCTTTAGTTCTTCATAAAAGATTTCACCATTATCAAACAAAAAAGTAATTATTCCAAAAGGGAATATCAAGACGAGACCATGACACATATATCTGTGTTTGACCTTTTTATATATATATCAAATTTGTAGTTTTGCAAATGGCCCTTTTCCGAATTTGCCAAACTTTGCCTTGTTTAAAATATGCACACACACGAAATAAAACAAGACATCAGCTAGAGACAGACGCAGTTGTGGTCTCTCTCGATGCTGAGGAAGCAAAATACATTAATGGAAAAAGCTGAAGAAGGGAACCTTATTCGATTCAACCCCAACCATGGGAGGAGGAGAATGAACAAGAAACAAACGTGAGAATCTCAATTCAGAGGTTGTCTTTCAAAGATGAACCATTTTTTATAGTTATTTGGTGTCACTATTATAATTATTATTCCCTCCAGCATTTGCGTCGTCTGTCCCAGTTCTTGAGAAATGAAGGAGGCTGTATATAAAGAGAGGGATGGGAAGGCCACTTCTCATATCATCACACCGTTGAGTGCCCATTGCATTCTCTGTCAATATTGTCCTTGTTTGTAAATTATTCTTTTCCTGGGAGCCGGATTCAACAAGGGGAAAAGAAGGTGGGGGAAGAAGAGACTTGACTTGAAGCCTCAGAGATAATAGAGAAGGTAAGAGTTTTGAGGTATTGTTATGGAATGGAGTCCCATACCATAATGCTCCCTTCTCTTATCGTCAAGGATATGTTTTGGGTGGCCCTGGGGCTTCACATTTCATGATACCTCTGTGTTTTTTTTTTCCCTGGGGTTTGACTTTTTTAGGGTTTGGTCGAGCAAACTAAGAAAAGGAAGCTTTGCGTGAATAAGGAATTTCTACTGGGTTCTTTTAGTTTCGTTCATTCGTGTCCGGTGAAAATTTTTATTTGACGATGAGGAGCACATTAAAAGTAAGTTTTGAGAAATCGTGCTCGAGAGGTTTGTACCAAAAAAGCTAGCGATAGGGTATTTTTTGATGAAATCATGGTTCAACCTTTGCATATACTGTCAAAAACCGCATACTGATAGGATATTTTTACGAAGGAACTATCACTATAGTACGGTTTCACAACAAAATATTAGTACTAAGATCAAATATCTTCTTGTTTCTTCTTGAAATAATGCTGGCTAGGAAGATTGTCTAAGTTTACGGCTTGACTTGCTTGACGATAGGTTGTACTTTGTAGGCTATAGTAGGTACTCCTACTAAAAAAAGTTAAAATATGAAAGGAATATGATGATCAGGTAGGTTTCTCGTAAAATGGTTTGTTTTAGTATTGCCAACCTTTACCTACTAATTCATTAAAAACGGAAAGATTAAGCTTGGAATCAATGGAGCCTCATATTTGATATTTCATGCACGGGAGTTGATTAGTGGTAGCTGGGAAAAGACTAAAGAGTGGAATGGAATTTCAAACATCACTCAATTCAACAAACTAGTCAAACTTCCTTTCTATTATACACTCCTAATTTTATTCCTTTTCCCCTCAAACTTTCACAACATGACCCCAAAAAGTCCCCCCAAAACCAATACCTGTTTTCTTCTAGGGATTTTCTCAATCATCACCTTCTTTGAATATAACCCTAAAGAGATAGTGAAAGAGGAGAAAAATTGACAAGGAAGAGAAAAAGGGGGGAAACCCCATTTTAGGAGATGTACCTGCATTTGTGGTGCAACTTGATCTTTCTACCTTCCTTCAACAGTCAAAACTGTGGCATGTAATCACCAAAATGGGAATAATCATATGTATCGCGCAAAATGTAATGTCTGAAAATCGAAGTTATCTTCATAAATACATTTGTGATAAGCATGAAAAAAATGAGAGTCACATATTTGAACCGTGTTTCGTCCAGTACCTCATAACTTATGTGTATGAGTTTGCACTATTTTCATCGATTTAAAACAATAATTATACGATTTATGCATAAAAATTAAAATTATCGAAAAACAAAAAATGAGATGTTATTCAATTTAAGCTATTACAAAGATACCCAACCAAGCTCAGCAGAAACCTACCTTCTTTCTTCCAAGTAGGTTGATACTTGATGCCTAAACCTAGCTCCCCACCGGATTCTTCCACTGAACCGGAAAGCCAAAAAAAGCAGGGGAGGGAAATGAAAGAGACCAGAAGCTGCTAATTTCCCATCGCAGCAAGTGAAGAAACTTACAAAAAGGGCAAGCCGCTCTCTCTCTCTCTGTATAACTAACTGTAAATGCCGGTAGTGGCAGTGGTAGTGGAGATGGTGGGATCCCCATTTCCGGCCAAAAAGGGATGGCGAAGATTTAATGGCGCTCGCCGTTGACGAATTCTCCTCCCCCTCCGCCCCCTCCTTTTGCTTTTGCCCCTTTCACTTCACTTCTCTATCTCTCTGCCGCCTACCTCTTCGAAGTCCCCACGTGCCTACCTTCTTCCCTATATAATCCCTTTTCTCTCCCTCCCCATTTCCACTCATCATCATCTCTCCCTTCTTCAATTCCCTCACTCTGTTTTGACTCTGCAACTCTTCTCACTCTGTTTTTTCCATTGCTCTGTTTTCTCTGCAAAAAACGAAGATGGTCGAGAGCGGCAACGGGAATGGGGAAGTTCCTTACCACCGTCACAGTCACCATGCCCTCGACGTCTCCATGGACACTCCTTCCATCATGGCCTCCAAGTGCTTCGATGACGATGGCCGCCCTAAACGAACTGGTATTCCTTGTTTACTTGGAGGAAAAAAAAAAAAAAAAAACAAGCAGAAAGCTTTCCCACCCAAATTGGGTAATTGATTTTGAAGTTTATTAAACATTGTTTTTGTGCCCGGTTTCCAGGAAGCATTTGGACTGCAAGTGCTCACATCATAACGGCGGTCATCGGTTCCGGTGTTCTGTCGCTGGCTTGGTCAACCGCTCAGCTTGGTTGGATCGCCGGTCCGACCGTTCTCTTCCTCTTCTCCTTCGTCACTTACTACACCTCCACCCTCCTCGCCACCTGCTACCGCGCCGGCGACCCTGACACCGGCAAGCGGAACTACACTTACATGGAGGCCGTCAAATCCACCCTCGGTATGTCTTCTACTTACTTCATCCACCCTCCTTCAGTAATCTATTCCGTGTACAAGTTTCGAACTCATCGGCTGGCACGAAATTTGGATGGTCAGGCGGTTACCATGTGAAGATCTGCGGGTGGGTTCAGTACGTTAATCTCTTCGGTGTTACCATCGGCTACACAATCGCTTCTTCCATTAGCATGATGTGAGTTTCTTTTCCCCTCTAGTTTTCCCCTATGCCCTGTTTTTTTTTGGGTCCCCTGTTTCAGAAATTCGGACTAATTGGTGTTTGATTTCGGTTCAACAGGGCAGTGAAGAGGTCGAATTGTTTCCACAGAAGCGGAGGAACCGATCCCTGCCATATGAACGCCAACCCATACATGATTGCGTTCGGAGTAATCGAAATCCTCTTCTCCCAAATCCCGGATTTCGACCAGCTCTGGTGGCTCTCCTTCGTCGCCGCCGTCATGTCGTTCACTTACTCCACAATCGGACTCGGCCTCGGCATCGGCAAAGTAATCGAGAACCAAGCTATTAAGGGAAGCCTCACCGGAATCGGAATCGACCTCGTTTCCCCCACCGATAAAGTCTGGCGTAGCCTCCAAGCCCTCGGCGGCATCGCCTTTGCTTACGCCTTCTCCAACATCCTCATCGAAATTCAGGTACTAATAACTATTTCTTTCCCCTGTTTTTTCTACTTCCCCTGTTTCCGCTTCTAACCCTTTTACTGGTGTAAAAATTTCCAGGACACGATCAAATCCCCGCCGTCGGAATCAAAGACGATGAAGAAAGCATCTCTGATCAGCATCTCAGTGACCACCGTCTTCTACATGCTCTGCGGCTGCTTCGGCTACGCCGCCTTCGGCGACCAAGCCCCCGGAAACCTCCTCACCGGATTCGGATTCTACAACCCGTACTGGCTCCTCGACATCGCGAACGTCGCCATCGTCGTCCACCTCGTCGGAGCTTACCAAGTCTTCTGCCAACCCATCTACGCATTCGTCGAGAAGCTGGCCGCCAACAATTTCCCCGACAGCTACTTCATCACCAAGGAGTTCAGAATCCCACTCCCCTGGGGCCATTACAACTTCAACTTGTTCAGATTGGTGTGGAGGACCATCTTCGTCATTACCACAACTCTGATCTCCATGCTGCTCCCGTTCTTCAACGACATCGTGGGTCTTTTGGGGTCGGTGGGGTTCTGGCCGATGACCGTTTACTTCCCGGTGGAGATGTACATTGCACAGATGAAGATCCCCAAGTGGAGCACAAGATGGGTGAGCCTTCAGATCCTGAGCATGGCTTGTCTGATGATCTCCATCGCCGCCGCGGCCGGGTCGATCGCCGGGATGATCGTCGATCTCAAGAGCGTCAAACCGTTTCACATGAAATATTAGAAGGATTGAAAAGAAAGAGAAAAACACGGCATAGCCTGCTCAGCTAGCTCTTGTTCTTGTTCATAACAAGGTCCAACCAAAGTCTCTCTTTCCTTTACCTTTTCTATGTATGTAATATCATTATAATTAGGTTATCAATTACTAAGGAAGGAAAGAAACGAACATGTGTCGTTGAGGTCCGCTCTTCTTTGGATGTATCTCTCATTAAAAAATCTTCCAATTGTTAACAAATCATGAATTGAATTGAATTGAATTAAATGGTGTACTACTGGACTTGGACTGCACTCTCTTTCAATGCAAAATTGGATCATTTAAGATGTGATCTTATTAATGGTATGCATATGTGATATGACAAGCAGTGTTGCCAGTCTCAGCAATTTATGGCCTGTTGTTTTACTTTTTCCGACCATATAAAGTTTACTTTTTTATCGTGTTTAGATTCTAACATGAAAAAGTTACTGTTGCGTATTATCTGGTTACAATACAAAATCTCCATATTATATTGCCAATCGTATCATAGTGGTAAATTGTGGTATGGTAATAATTTGATGATATTATGAAGTCTTATCATAACAATGTGATGCTAGTGATAATGGTAAGATAATATGAAGTATTATTTTTAGACAAAAAAATTGATTTCATAATATCATAATTTTATCACAGTGATAATATCACAAGTATGATAATTATATGTCTTACCATAGTGGTAAAAATCATAATATGTCATTGATAAATGACAACAAATATGTTTTTTTTTTTTGAAGAGTTAGTTTTTCTTTTGCTTAAAACATATCAAATAGATATCATTCTGTAAATAATAATTATTGATTTTTTTAACAAAATTATTTTTAAATTTTCAAGTTAAAATAAGGAGATATGTTATCATACCACTTTTACATTATTGTGATATGATAGTGATAATAGTAATACTATAATTAAAATAAATTTTGCAAAAAGCTAATTATTGTTTTAATCAAATTACAGCAAAATGATTCATATATATATAAAATTTAATAGAAAATATTAATTGACCGTTGAGATTCGTCGGAGCTCAGAAAAGCAGGTCTAATAGTCATATCACATGGAGTATGGTATACTTCTGGAGTATACGCCACTCATTACCATATATGGATGGTTCTATCATACACCAGCCAAAACCTGGTGTATGTCGTACACAAGGCAATCTCCACCGTCCATGTCCACCTCAAGGGCCAGTATAAATGAAGTAATTTAATTTTTTAATCCAACAAAAAAAAAAAAGAACCCGCATTAATGCTAACCATTAAGATGGACGTGGACGGTGGAGATTGTTGGTGTACGACTTACCCCAATATATGTCTGGTGTACGATAGAAGTCACTATATATATGATGGCGTCTTCGGTGCACTCACTTGTTTGGGTGCATTCAGTGCACTCACTTCATAACCGTCATTTTAAACATGCGATTTATCTCAAAATGAATGCAGTCAAAATCTGAATTTTGATCGTAAAATCGTAGGATTTTACTTAGGGATTCCGATCCTGATTTTACTATAAAATCGGTGGACCTTAAATCGGGATTAAAATCGTTAAAATCGTACCAAAATCGGGATTTTGATTGTATGAGAACAAAATAGGTGGTTAGAGCCAATTTAAAAGAAGCATAATTGTTTCGGCTGAAAGTGCAATGAAGAGAATCATCTCAAATATTTTTTCTATAAAAAATATTTTTAAATAATAAAAATAACCAATTTATAGCTCGGTCAATCCCTTTCCCTTCGCGCAAGTTAACTTATTGGTAAAAAAAATTGTCCTAATATTAGAAGTACGTAAGAATTACCATTATTATTAATTAATTAATTAATATATTTGTAACAAGTCGCTAGAATTACTTATTTTATTGGAGTTTAATAATTTTTAGTTTTAAATCATACTTAGACAATGTCGGAATATTCTGTGTGTTAAGCTACCTAGATACAACATGAAAACAAGAGCCAAACCCATTGAGCTCTATCCCTTACTCATGAATTATTTTGAGTTACGCATTAAATAATAATTAAAATAGTTATTTTAGAACATTAATCTTGAGAATTATCTTTAGTAAAAAAAATCTTGAGAATAATCATTTTAAATGTTATGTATCTTTGTGTTATTAATGATTTACCTTATTAATATTATTATATGTTATATTCTATATGGTACTTAAAATCCTACGATTTTGCGATTCGATTTTACGATTCCGACTTTACCCAAGTTTTCGATTTTAGGTAAATCCCGATTTTGAATGCTTTGCTCAAAATGATGTCAATAATCACTTATGATGTGATGAACAATAACGCACATGAATTTGCACAAAAACCCATTAAAGATTTACTTTAATTTGAAGGATTTAGAGTTTAGAGATTTAGGGTTAGGGTTTACAATTTGGGGTTTAGGGATAGATATCAAAATTGGAGGTCTAGGGCTTAGGGTAATCTGCTAATTAGTTGTTATCATGTTATATCATCATATTACACTAATTCTACAAATTAAAATTCAAAATCCGACACCTTAAGACTAGTTTTTGAGTTGGGTGCATTGAACGCACTCATTTGTGTGAGTGCACCAAAGTAGTCAACATATATATATATATACATATAACCATATATGGCAAAGGCTAGCGTACGTCACGCGTACGCTGTACGTCTTTGTTCACACTTGGGTTTTGCACTTCAATATAGTTCGTTGAATCAAAACCGTCGGTTATTATTATATATACATATAACCATATATATATATATATAAATTATATATATTTGTAATTAATGCAATATTTCTTTGCTAAATTTTTTGAATTATGAGTTAAAACAAATGAGATATGACTTGATTAAGAAAAATGAGAAATTATAAAAAGTAGCATTTGACAGGTCAAAAGTATCTGCTCTCTCTTCTAAATTTCGTGTCAGTGGAAGAAAAATAAAAGACACAGGGTCATTCAATGGATCGTGAATACCCTGTTCAAAATTGAGATATTGTTCATATTAAATTTTAGTATAATAAAAGAAAATGAACATAACATTATTATTTTAAATGTGATCTCTTTCTAGTATTGTTTAAGATCGAATTATATATTAGCTCTCTAATATTCGTAGTTTCCATAAAATCATTTCATTCATTGCTATATATAACTAATCCATTAAGGCATTATTATGTCATTTTTTTTAAATAAATAGGACTTTCAAGTTTCAACTCCCAAACACTACTTGCTCGTGTATACTTAGGGGTCGAGTGGGCGACTTTCTTCAGCATCACCGCTTGGCTCCTGTGGAAGAATAGAAATGACATGTGCTTTAAAGGTATCTCAGCCACTCTCACTCCTCCTTCCTTGGCTCATTCGATTCTTGCAAAAGTGAAGCTATGGAGTGAAGCCTGGAACGCCCCGTCCTTGCTGCCGTGCGGAAAGAGGGCCTCTGCTCCTCGGAGGGTGGTGGACATTGCTTGGAGCTCGCCTCCTAACGGATGGGTGAAACTAAACATTGATGGGGCCTCAAATGGTAACCCCGGACCGGCTGGGGCGGGAGGCGTGTTGAGGGATGGAGTCGGGCATTGGATTGTTGGTTTTGTGGCTATGATTGGCGAAGCTCCTGCAGCTTTGGCAGAGCTATGGGCTTTTTTTCATGGCTTGGATATCGCGTGGAAATCAGGGCATCGCCAGATTGAGATCGAGTCGGACTCTCAGCTTGCCATCCAGTTAATTAATGACAGACATGATCCGGTGCACCCTTACGCCACCTTGTTAGCAGCTATTCGCAGGAGGATTAGTCGGGACTGGTTGGTGCGCATTGTTCATGTGTACCGCGAAGGGAATAGAGTCGCGGACTGGCTCTCGAAGCACAGTCTCGTCTATCCCTTCGGGTTACATGCACTTGCACACCCGCCGTCAGGGGTGATTACCATTCTCCAGGACGATATTCAGGGGGTCTCTTTTGAGCGGCGGATTGTGTCCCGCCATGACACCTCCTCTTCCTCCCATCCCCCCATGTAACCTCTCTTTTTCTTGGCTTTTGCCTCCTTGTATGCAAAAAAAAATATATACAAGAGAATATTTATCAACTATCAGCTATAATATTAATTGATATAATTGAAGTCATTATCAATCTCCTAATAAATTAATCACATACGTATACTATAAATATAACATATGGTATTCAATCAAATTAACTAATGGAATTAAATGGAGTCCCCTAATATTTGGAGGGCCTTTGTCGAGGGTCTCCCGTACACTCTCATTGATGCCCCTGAAATGACTGAGGGATGTGAAATTATCAGTTGAATTACCATATCGTACCGGCGGTTCGACCAGAAAATACTGTACCGTAGCAACGGTATTAAGAGGTTGAACTACGGTTTTAGCATTAAATACCCGAGGTACAACCTCTGGTACGTTATTTCAATACTTGGTTTTTCCTCCTTATTTTTGTATAAATTGTCGACCATTATATATGATTTTATTTAATGGTTATATATTAATGTTTTGAAAGATTTTATACCCCATCTGCTCTCTTTAAAAATAAGATCAATTGAAATCTACGTAGTAATATTTACTTTAACATATTTTTTAACAAAAGAAATTCACGCTTTGGTACTAGACTTATCGCTTCAATAAGACATGACCCATAACTATAGTAAGATATCTTACGACAGTCTAACGACAGAAACCCGTAACGCTATGTTACTGCAATGATAAACTATTCCCTATCAATTATGTAATCTCAATTATTTATTCAAGTTGGTACAAACATCGCATCAAATATGTTTGTTTTTTTCTTGTAACTCATATTGGTGGTTTACATTAGCTGCCAGTATTCTGGCGTACATTATCTCAATTCTCCTCCCTTCAAATCATTTATCCTTATCTTTAGATATTACAAACCACAAACGATTGGAATTGTTTTTTATATAAAGGTTGTCAATTCAGTTTAGCCGGTAAATCGAATCAAGTATGTGAGTTGAGAGTTAATACTCTTATTTCTTTAGTCTAGTACTCTAGTTTAGTCCGGATATATTGAGAAAAAATAATTATATTATTCATATATTTATAAATTATATTATATTTCATATGACATATGAGTAATAACATATAACATTATATCAAAATAAAAGGTTGTACTTGGATCCAATATATAGTGAAAATTCACACACACGTATATAACATTAAGTGAAAAATATGGATATGAGGTGCATTTCTCAAACATGGGAAAACGACGTCGTGTGGTTGTTAATAAAGCGGAACTGAACAGAACAGAACAATAAAACGACAGCCAGATTTACGTGATTTCCCCGATAACGGGACTAGTCCACGGGAGATTTAGAACTCTCTGAGCTGAAATTTTATTAGGGTTCTTAGTCTTTTAGGTCTCGATGATGGTATATTACAAGTATATATACATTTTCCTTACGTCATTCTGATCGTGTCGTCCCAAGGGGAGAAGGAAACCCCAGTTTGGCAAGTTACCCAAATGGGCCCGAACACTGGGCAAATATCCAATAAACATAACCCGCTAACAGCCTCCCCAAATTGAAGACTACTACGTGTCAATTTGCTAGACACGAATCAATGATGCGATCAAGTTTAGTGAATAGATCTGCTAACTGATCCTCCGAGACAACATAATGTAGCCGAACCACAGCATCACGAACAAGATCTCGAGCATAATGCACATGAATCTCGATATGATTGGTCCTACCATGCATAACCGGGTTGGCAGCTATCTGAATCGCACTGGTGTTATCCACATAGAGAGCCATCAGCGAGTTGCAGTGAACACACAAATCAACCAATAACCACTGCATATCCACACTAGTTCAGACCCAACATCCGACATAGCACGATACTCCGCCTCTATTTAAGAATTAGTCACCTTATCTTGCTTTTTGCATCTCCAATTAACAAAAGCATCACCAAACCGAATACACCACCCAATCGTCGAACGATGGGTATCAACAAAGCCCACAAAATTAGAATCAGAGTAAGCCTAGAGGGAGAACTCACCAGTGGATGGAAGGAAAATACCAACATCTCTAGTGTCCTGTAAGTATCGCAGTATGCGATGAACCGCCGCCAAATGATCAACTCATTGGTCAGCCATAAACTGACTGATGATATGCACTGTATATGAAAGATCGGAGCGAGTAGACGTAAGATAGATCAAATTGGAAACCAAATGCCTATACTGCAACGGATTCAGAATCTGTTCCCCAGAATCCTCAGCCAATTTCATATTAGCTTCCATAGGTGTAGAAACCGAAGCACAATCTGCAAAATTAGCTGAGGAGAGTAACTCGGAAATATACTTCTTCTGCCCAAGAATAATACCATGAGGAGATCTCGTAATCTTGAGACCCAAGAAGAATGACAACGACCCAAGGTACTTCAGTGTAAATGATGCGTGAAACCCCTGCTTGAGACGCTGAATACCCTGCACATCATCACCCGTAATGATCATATCATCAACATATAACAATAAGACAATGAGCTCAGCACCAAACTAACAAGTAAATAGAGACAGATCATTCAGGCTCTACTAGAAACCAAAGCCCAGAATCATAGACTCAAATTTCTCAAACCAAGCACGAGGAGCTTGCTTGAGACCATACAGAGGCCTACACAGTAAGCAAACTTGATATGGGTGAACAACTTTGTACCCAGGAGGACAGCGCATGTAGACTACCTCCTTCAAGTCTCCATGCATAAAAGCATTAGAGACATCCTACTGAAATAACAACCAATTCCAAACCGCAACAGCTGCAAGAAGAGTACGAACAACCTACATCTGGGCAACGGGGGCAAAAGTTTCGTCATAGTCCAAGCCATACTCCTATCCACAACACTGTTAAACCACCCGAGCTTTGGGTCGCTGAATACTACCATAAGCCTTTAGCTTCAACGCATACACCCATCGAGATCCAAAGACTGGAATGTGGGGAGGAGGCCGATCAACAACTTCCCAGGCACCCTTAGCATGTAAAGCATCTATCTCCACGTCTATGGCCCATTCCCACATCGGATCATCTTTAGCATGCTTATAACATGCAGGAACAAGAATAACATCAACATTATATGTAACAAAATCTTCAAACCAAATCGAGAGTTGTCCATGCGTTGCCCGGAGCGAGCGGTGAAGAACAGGCTCTACTGGAGACGGAGATGGAGAAGACTCCGCTGAGCTGGAGGAGGACGATGTTAAGGACGAAGAGCCTACAGGCGAACTGGGGGGAGGCGAGTTGAGTGGAATTAAGTCATCACCATCATCATCGAGCTCATCGAGAAACGAAGAAAGAGGGACAGACACATCAGAGGAGGATGACGCAGAAGGATAATACATAAGACTCTCAAACAAGACCACATCTCAAGAAACACGAAGACGCTGATAACCGGGAACAAAACAGAGATAGCCCTTATGAATATCATTATAACCAAGGAAGACAAACTTAACTGTTATGGACGATAATTTGGTGCTTTCTTTGCGAGAAAGAAGAACAAAGCACGTACAACCAAAGATACGAAGGCGCGAATAGTCTGGATGTTTGTGAAATAACATGAAGTGAGGACTAAACTGACCAAGAACAGGTGTAATCTGGTAGTTAATCAAGCGGACAGTGGTGGCCACGGTCTCAGGCCAAAACGGACGAAGGACGTGAGAGGCAAGAAGCAAGGCTCTAGTCAACTCCACTACATGCCGATTCTTCCGTTCTACCAAACCATTATGATGGGAGACACCAGGACATGATTTCTGTGTCAGAATACCCTAATCACGAAACAAAGCAGCCAAAGGATGGGAGATGAACTCCACACCAGGGTATGACCGAACAATATGTACCGTATGGCCAAACTGGGTCTGTATCATCTTAATAAACTCAGTGGCAACAGATAACAACGCCGATTTAAGATGAAGAAAATAGACCCAGATAAAACGTGTAACATGGTCCACAAATGAAGCAAACTATTGGTACCCATGATGAGAGAGATCATGGGTGGACCCCAAAGTTCAATATGAACCACATGAAACGACACAGAGATCACAGTCTGACTAGACGGAAATGAGCTACGAGTTGTCATAGCCTCCACACAACTGGTGCAAACAAAATCACCAAAAGAGTTATCAACCTTTTTATTTCCTAATAAATTATGTTTGAACATAGCAACCATTCGAATCGAATGAGGATGACCCATACGAGAGTGTCAAAGATCCATATCCGAACACCTAACACTCGAAAAATCAGAAGAACAAGACTGAGACATTGACTCCCTAGACATCAAATCCTGCTGCACGGGAGTAGAAGACAAACAAGGTTGATCCGATAGCTCCTCCAGGTGAAAATTTTGCCAGTGTTTACTTCCCCGGCCGATCTGTCTCCCTGTCTTCAGATCCTGAACAACACAACCAGAAGGTTCGACACAACACGACAATTTTATTCAGTCAGTTGGCCAACAGAGACCATGTTGGGTACAAACTTTGGGACATGTAAAGTATGAGGCAGTGATAGACCGTTATTTACACATGTTTTTACCCCTGTTCTTACACCGTTTGAGATGTGATTTCTCGTGTTTTAGTCCGATTTCACGCTAGGTTGTGCTTGTTTGTCATATTTCAGGTCCTAGTACGTGAATGAAGGCTTAGGAGCGAGTCTGGGGTCGATTGGACGAAGAACGAACGAATGGCGAGGTTTTTGGGAGCTGCACGGGCAGACCAGGGGGCTGCACGGCCGTGCACGGTTGCAAGCTGGCCGTGCGCCTCATGCCGAGGAGCTGCACGGGCAGGCCCTGAAGATTGCACGGCCGTGCACCTGGCCGTGCAAGAAGCCTGAGTTCGACTTAAGGGATACGCTGCGTTTCATGGTGCACGGCCAGAATGGTGAAGTGCACGGCCGTGCACCCTGGCCGTGCAACTCGGGAAACCCGGTTTTAAAGCCTAATCCGAGCCAGAAGTGAGAGAATAGTGTTTTCAGAGCAAAAACAGAGCCCTAGAGAGAGAAAGTACGAAGAACACATCCTAGAAGCTGTCTTAGAGCTGGATTTCATCGAATCGAGCCTGGAGATCGTCATAGGAGTGAAAATCATCGTCCCGGAGCAGATTATCCTCATCGTTATGAGTATGACTAATCCGATTCTTGTTTTCTCTTCTCTCTCTATGGAGTAGAACCCTTCTCTCACTTGGGGATGAAGAACCCTAGTTCCATGTGTTAGGGGATTGATTGTAATGACTTGGGATGATACTACTGTTTGATTTTAATCGAATGATGCATGTTTCATGAATTGATTTGAGTCTGATCAGCTTGTCTCAATTTCTGCTTCAACCTGAGATAGATAGAATCTGATTAGGTTGTTAGAGCCTCTTCATTCGATAGTAGGAGGTTGGCTATACGAGAGTTAGCCAGTTTACTGCTTTGTACTGGTGTTCTTGGCGCCAGTAGTGGAGTTCTGTGTTCATAGCCTCAGCTTTCTATCCCGGTGAAGACTAGTCGTCTGCCGGGTAGTTAGACTGAGAGGGCTTGGTCAGCTTAAGAGATTCCAAGCTACTGCCGGATCTTCCGCAGTCTAATCAACAGTAAATCAACCCAGGGTAAATTGCAATTGAAACCTAACTAAAGAGCTAGGGGGATTCATTCCCGAGTGACTCTTTCCTGCTTAAGAAAACCGAATAATTTCCTGCTTTATTTCTGCTTTTAGTTTAAACAACAATCACTTACTCTAGTTGGCTAGATAACAGAGAATCACTGAGTAAGCAGTAGATCTAGACCCCGGGTTGATAATATAACTTGCCTGTTACTGCATTCCCGGTCTGCGATTACACTTGGTCGCAGATTGGTGTTGTGTTTTGGCGTGTCAAGTTTTTGGCGCCGTTGCCGGGGACTTTCTAGATTATTAGGAAAGGCAGAAGTTTGTTACTTTAGCGTTTTTCGTTTCTTTTCTTTTCCACCCTTGCTTTTCACTGGGGTGTTTTTGTTTTTGTTGGTGCAGATCTGAATCATGGATCCTCATGGCTTCTCCAATCATTGGGGGTATCCACCACCATCTGGGTGGTATTACCCCGAGACCCCCTGGAGCAATCAAGGAGGAGAAGACTATGGATTCGGGTTTCAGTACCAACCCCCATCCTACGAAGAACAATCAGACCCCTGGGTATTTCAAGAACAATCTCCTTATCAAGAAGAATTCCTCCATCAGCCAGATCCAAACTATCACTTGAGGCTTCTCGTGGACCAGATTGCTCGAGTACCTGAGACATCCTTTCCAAAGATGGATATCCCAGACAATGCCCAAACTGGGTTCTCCTACCGTGAAACAGAGGAGACCCTCCTGAGCATAAAGAAGAGCCTCGAGGATATTGAGAAAGCTTATGCACAACCTGCTCAAGATCACCCTTCTGCTATCATACTAGAAGAGGAGGAGGAAGACGAAGGCTACAAGGATATTGTGGAGCAGACAGAAGTTTTCACGAAAAGCTCTCGTGATGATCATGATCAGGAATTTCCTGCCGTAGCCGACCACACCTTCCCACATCCCAAACTGAGCTTTGAAGAGGCGGGCATGAGTGAGGAGATGCAAGCTGAACTTATCGAGAACCTTGCATGGAGACTTGCTCTCCAATTCGTGCTGGAAGAAGAAGAGCAAGAAAGGGTGCAGAAAGAAGTTGTGGAAGATGACAAAAGTGAAGCAGAAGGAGTTCTTGATCTTTTCTCAGGGGTGATACCACATGAAGAAGAAAGGGAGGTTGAAGAAGCAATTGGCGTCCAGGCTGAGGACGGAGTTAAGGTGGAAGAGGCCTGCACCGGCCATGAGTTACATTTGATATCTCCACCAAACTTCGAGGAACTACTTAGCAAGGACCCATTTGCAGTGTCTCTTTGCCAGACCAAGGCCACATCGACATCGGTCCCTCTTGGTGGACGCGATGGTGGCCAATCTATGCTGTCTTATCTGGTTTGGGGCAATGAGACGAGAGAAGAGAAGAAGAGGTCTCGAGGGTGGAGACTTCATCTGCATCAAGTACATGAGCCTTCATCACCTGCCACACCACCTGCTTGTGACTTGAGACTCCACCTCATAGATGAGAACCTCAACTTCAAGGAGGTTCTAGCATGGACCGAAACTTAGGAGTCATCGTCCGGCTCACGACGTGAAAGAAGCGCTTGTTGGGAGGCAACCCAACCAGTCGGTTTGCATTTCTTTCTCTATTTATCCTCGGTTGAGTCAGTTTTGTTATTTGATTTTAGAGTCAATAACTCAACCTTTGTGAGATTTTGTGTGGTGTTTGTGTTCTGATTACTCTCTCTTCCTGGACTGCACTGCCTGACCCGTACATCATCATTCACCCTTGATCTGGTAACTTCGTTCAACCCTCCTTATCTTTCCTCCATTGAGGACAATGTCGTGCTTAAGTGTGGGGGGGTGTTCGATTATGTATGCGGGTGTTTGTTGGTTGTTTGTGTGCTTGGAGCCTAGTCCACTGTCCAAATTTTTAAATTTGAGGGCTCCAAGTACGTGTTTCCTTGCAATTGCCTGCTCAGTATGCTTTGAATTGACAGTCTTTATAGTAATATGCAACCTAGGGAGGTAGTGTAGCACTATGGAGGATGTTGATGCATTTAAGAAGTCTCATTTCTTCTTCATATAAAGTTGGTTGATTGAGTGAATTAGTGATCTTAGGACCCTTGAATTGTGTGGTGTTGTGGATTCTCTACCTGTCATGGACTCTTGTATCATGTTTTGAAAGTAACAGGTGCTCGAAAATGTGCTTCAAAATAAACGTCTCCCGTGCGAATAGGGCGAAAGTGTGTAAGGGGAGACGGGAATTCGTTCCCAATTTCCACCTACTACCTCCAGCCCCCTTACATGTCTTTCCCCCGCACGAGGCTCGAGACATCCGCTCCTGGCATGGCCGGTAAGAGCAGGTTGGGACCCTTGAAAAAGAAAAGAAAAGAAAAATATCAGAAAACAAGCAACAAAAAAAAAAAGGGGTCTCAACCATCTTCAAGAAGCAGAAAATAGAGCACCTTGAAAAATGTGAGTCCATGATCTGTTGTTTTTGAGAATCTCCTCATCCACAATTCATTTGTCCTCTGTTCACTATTTGCCATGATGCCGACTCGCCGAAGAAGCTATGAGATGACTTGTGCGTCGGTTGACCTCGTAAGCTGCTAAATGATCTAGGAAGTCCTCTACCTACGATCTGGGTTGTATGTTGCTATAGAGCTCTGGAGAGTTGCATTGGTTTGAGTTAGGTTTGCTTGGGGACAAGCAAACAGTTAAGTGTGGGAGGATTTGATGACTCGGTATTTGCACATGTTTTTCCCTTTGTTTCTTGATTGTTTGAGCTTGAATTATCGTGTCTTTGGCCTATTTTATGCTAGGTTGTGTTCCTTTCTCACATTTCAGGTCCAAGCACATAAAGTGAAGTATAGGCGCAAGTTTCAAGTCAATCAGAGATCAATTGACGATTCGAGAGAAGAAACTCGGGCATGACCTAAATAAGAATGGATTTCTACCTCACTTTATGGACAAAGAATCATGCAAGCTTGTCATGAAAAGAAAGAGGACGAGACTACGAGCGTCTGGGATCAAACGGCGACTGAATCGGAGGTCAAACGAGCTCAAACGAGATCAACGAAGCTTAGGAGTGCATGCTGGAAATTGTGCACGGCCGTGTGAAATTCTGCACGGCCGTGCGGGTTTCCCAAGGGATCTGCACGGCCAAAACCTCAATTTGCACGGCCGTGCAAGTAGGGGGTGCGAGTTTCAGCGGGTATAAAAGCTGTTTTGCGATTTTTGGAGAGGTAGAGCTGGGTTTTGGATCCCAAACACCCAAGGGACGAACCCTAGAGAGAGAGCGACTTGGGAACATTCTTGGAGCTATTTTGGAGGATTTCTTCGCCATTGGAGCTCGGGAATCAAGCTTGGAGATGGAGATTGAAGATCTAGATCAGATTTCTGCAGTCTCTCTCTTCTCTATGGAGTAACTTCCCTTCACTTAGGTTTTGAGGAACCCTAGTTCCATGAGTTAGGATCTTTCTTGTATGAAGTTTTGGATGCTTTATTGTTTGATTATAATCGATTGAGGCATGATTTATTGAGTCAATTGGATCTTGATCAAATTCTCTTGATTTCTTCTTTAACCTATGATAGATAGAATCTGATTAGGTTAAGAGAGCTTCCTTGATTGATAGTAGTGAATTGGTTGTGCGAGAGTCAATCAATTCACTGCTTTGTACTGGAATTCATTCCAGTAGTGGAGATCTGTGTGAATCGCCTTAGCAGTCTATCCCGGTGAAGGCTAGTCGCCTGCCGGGTATTCTGTCTGAGAGGGCTTGGTCAGCTTAAGAGATTCCAAGCTAATTTAGGATCTTCCGCAGTTTAATCAACAGTGGATCAACCAAAGGTAATTGCAACTTGGACCTAATTGAGGAGCTAGGGGGAATCATACCTAAGTGAGTTCCCAAACTGTAATTAGTAGTTTTACTTAGTTTAGTTAGTAGAGTAGTTTAGTTAATCAATCCTTAATCTAGTTTGCTAGATAATGAACTGAAGCTGAGTAATAGTAACTCTAGAGACCCGTGGATTCGATATTTATTACTTGAGCCACTATACTGCAGTCCCTTCCATTGGTTACACTTGGCCATTGTTAGGTGTTGTGTTTTAGAGCATCAAGTTTTTGGCGCCGTTGCCGGGGAACCCTCTAGGTTATTGGGGAAACGTGAGAATTTGTTACTCTAGCTTTTATTTTCTGCTTTTTATTTCTTCCACCTGTGTGCCTTCACGGGTTGTTTCTGCTGATAGTGTGCAGGTAGTGCATGACCCGTAGCCAGTCGGGAGATCTACTACCACTAGACCAAGAGCTTGAACGAACCTGCAGAAACTTCAAGCGGGCTCTAAAGGCGCGACTGGCTGCGGAGGAGGCGCTATCACAGCTGCAGTTAGAGGAGGAAGAAGAAGAGATGGCTGAACCAGGGAACCATGCTGTGATCCCCGAGGAGCAGACCATGGGCTCCTACTGGACCGCTAGGGCTGCGGACATGAGGTCACCCATTCAGCACCCTCAGGTCCCAGCCAACAACTTTGAGGTGAGCACCTCCGTGATCACCATGCTGCGCGGTTCAGTAGTGTTCCGTGGTAAGGAGGGAGAGTGCCCTCGATCACATCTCAGGCGATTCCACGAGCTCATCGATGGAATCAAGATCAATGGGGTACCAGCAGATGCCATCCAGCTGAGGTACTTCCCATTCACTCTGGAGGGGCAGGCCAAGGAGTGGCTAGACACTCGATCTCCCGGCTCCATCACCACGTTCGCCAACCTGGCGGACAAGTTCCTCACCCGCTACCATCCTCCATCCAAGACAGCTGACCTGCAGAAGCAAATTACACATTTTGTTCAGGATGAGGATGAGACCATCAGGGATGCATGGGAGAGGTACAACAGTCTTTTCCTCAGGTGTCCAAATCATGGTTTCAACGATGCGTTCAAGGTGGGCACATTCTATCACGCCCTCTTCCCGGAGGACAAGCAGCTGATCGATTCGGTTTGTGGCGGGAACATGCTGACCAAAACCCCGCCACAGCTGAATCAACTCTTTGAAGAGATGGCGGAGAATGGTTATGATTGGGGCACTGCCAGGAGATCGAGGAGAGCACCAGGCCGGGGTGTGCATGCTGTGGGCACCCAGTCATCCGATTTGGTGCAGGTAGTATCGAAGCTGGTCTCAGCTATCGATCGTTCCGGGATGATTCCAGGGACCGGACAGCAGCAGGCGATGCTCTGCCAGTGGTGCGAGAGCACCCATCATATGGTGGAAGACTGCCAGGCGATGAAGGAATCGACCACGCCCCAGGAGCAGGTGAATTTCATCAACAATGTCAGGCGCAATGACCCCTACAGCAACACGTACAATGAGGGGTGGCGCCAGCATCCTAACTTCTCCTGGACTGGGCCAAATCCCAGACCACCAGCTCCACAGGGACCACCGGGCTTCCAGAGGCCACCATATCAGCCCAGACAGGGGCAATTCCAGCAGCCAGGTGCAGCCCCTGCTGCCCCAGTGCAGAATGATCAGATGGCTGAACTGCGGGACTTGGTGGGTTCTCTTGCCAGTGTTAGTGCTCAGAAATTCAACACCTTTGAGCAATTCATGGAGAAGGCCTCGGGTCAACTCCTGGCTCTGGAAGCTGGTCAGAGGAATACACGGGCTGTTTTGCAGGATATCCAGACCCAGCTGGGGAGCGTGGCCCAGGCAGTGGCTCAAAGGGCTCCTGGTACTCTACCAGGGCAGACCATCCCTCACCCGCCGACCCCGAATGAGCGCTGCAATGCCATCATGACCAGGAGTGGCAAGATGACTGTTGATCCCCCTGCTCGGGAACCGGAGAAAGAAAGCCCTGTCTTAGCGGCTCCAGCGGTTGAACAGGAAGTAGAGAAGGAAGTTGAGGTGCCTGCACCTAAACCGCAACCAGTAGTGAAGGAGTATGTCCCTAAACTCCCTTTCCCTACTCGGTTGCACAAAGACAGGCTGGAGGCAGAGTTCGAGAACTTCATGGCCATGCTTAAGAAGCTGAATGTCCAAGTGCCCTTCCTGGAGGCACTATCGCAAATGCCAAAGTATGCGAAGTTTCTGAAAGAGCTTCTCTCAAAGAAGCAGAAGCTGAGTGAGCTGGCCACGGTAGAGCTCAGCGAGGAATGCTCGGCTATTCTGCAAAACAAGCTTCCGCAGAAGAAGAAGGACCCAGGTAGTTTTACTATCCCGTGCTCTATTGATAAATTGCATGTAGAGAAGTCCTTGGCGGATTTAGGTGCTAGTATCAATGTTATTCCATATAAATTGTTCATGAAACTAGGCCTAGGTGAACCCCGTGCTACTAGGATGACCCTTCAATTAGCTGACAGATCTGTAGTGCATCCTAGGGGTATAGTGGAAGACCTTCTGGTTAAGGTTGGCAAATTCACATATCCCGTGGATTTTGTTATCTTGGACATCAGTGAGGACACAGAAGTGCCTCTTATACTGGGAAGGCCTTTCCTGGCCACCGCCAAGGCTCTCATAGATGTGCATGATGGGACCTTAGTTTTGAGGGATGGCGAGGAGCGAATAACGTTTTCTGTTGCTGATAATATACCTGCTTCGTCACCTCTGCATGCTGTATCTCACCAGGAGCACGAGTCTGTCGTGTATCCTTCTGTGCTGCCTATTTTGCAGGAACCGCCTCCCACACCTTCGCCGCCACTCCGGACCACTCCGTCACCCAAAGAACAGATCAAGGAGGAGTGGCGGCCGAAACTGCCGGCAGCTAAGCCTGCTCGAAAGGAAGCCGGAGACCACTATGAGCTGATCCCGCCCCCTCCTTGGCCATCCAAGTATTCACTCGCTTGCATCCTACCGGATGGCCAAGTTGAGCTGGCGAATGCAGGTGGCCACATTTGAAGCTGTACCTCAAGAGCGATGTGGATCCGCTCTTGAAGGCACCTGATCCTACACTTCCCTGAGCATCCATACTGCGTCCAGCTAAAAGACGGTAAAGAAGCGCTTGTGGGGAGGCAACCCCACCGAGGTTTGCATTTTCTTACTCTTTTTCCTTTGATTTTGTGTGTTTTTGAGTCTTGAGACGTTGATCCAGAGTTACGTGTCGTTTTTGAGCGAAAACAGGTTGATTTCGGGACTCCAACAAGTCGCACGGCCAGGACCACAACTTGCACGGCCGTGCGGGCACCCCCCTTGGCCGTGCGAGCTCTCGGCCAAAAGCGCACGGCCAAAAGCGCTTATTGCACGGCCGTGCGCCCGTCCTGGCCTGACCGTGCGTCCTGCACGGGCACCATAATGCCTCGCATGGCCGTGCGGGTATCCCCCCCTTGGCCGTGCGAGCTCTCGGTAAGGATGGCACGGCCATATGTGCCAGGTGCACGGCCGTGCGCTTCCCCTCGGCCAGGCCGTGTCGGCTGCACGGGCAAAAACCAACCTTGCACGGCCGTGCGTCCCTGCCCGTGCAGCCGAGGCACGGCCTATTTATATGGCCTGCACGGCCATTGTGGTCAGAAAACCAAAACCACTCACCGGAATCCTCTGCCCTCGCCAGAAAACCGCGCAAAACCCACCTTTTTTCGATTTTTTCGGCAACTTTGGGTAATTTTTTCACCAAACCAACTACAAACCCACTCTTTCTACACCCAAAGCGGCCTATCCCTCGATTTTGAGCGAGTTTGGGCGACGTTTTCGTCGCCGGAGGCGATTTCCGGCGAGACTCCGGCGAGACTCCGACGAGCATTTCCGGCCAGTTTTTCGGCGTTTCGTCACTTCCATTGTCTTCCCCTCATCATTCCCTACACCTCTACTTGAGTCTCCAGGTTTGATTTTGCCCCTAACTATGTTAATTGTGGAGAATTGAGTGTGTAGGGTGTATGTTAGAGAACCTTATTGAATCATGTGAATCTTATGAAATTGATTGAGGGGAATGCATGGGATGTGATTGAATTATGTTGGGCAAAGTCCCCTTTGATTGTTTAAGCCCTTGTGTGCAAGAATTTGGCCAATTTCATGTTTAACTTAGTAGTGCACACAAGGTGTTCGCTGAAATGCCTGTTTTCCATGCCCTGTTGTGGCCACCGGTTGGGGCCCTTAATGATGTAGTTTGAGGGTGTATTTGCTATGGATGTGAACCTTGAGTTGCCTATTTTCTTGTGAATGTGCACCCCCACCCTGATTCTGCTTGATTTATCGAGATTTTGACCCCCGAACTATGGATGAAACCATGGTTAGGCTGTTTTCTGTTCTTAAGTGTGGGGGT